AATAATAAAACTCTTACTTTTTCCCCCAAAATTGATGATTTTTTTTTCTTCTAAGCAATACATCCTCGTAAAACCAAATGTACTTTGTATTCACTTACCTGTTAACACTTCTCCCCAGAATTTGGTTTCGATCGGTCAATATATGGCGATTTTAGTGGGTGTGAAGGACAGAGGTTATAGAATTTTATGCAAACGGTTATGTCTTCGTGGACATGTAAATAACAAAGTTTTTTAGGATACATAAATATTTCCATCCTGCGATAATTATATATTTTGTGTTACATGACTGACCGCTTCGAGATAGAGTATTTGCAATGATCTACGAGTAGGTTAACGTCGTAGACTTTTAAGCCTGTTTCCGTGTATATATTTGCACACATGAGCGTGTCCATTTGACCGAGTATAGCGGCAGTTTACTTGCCTCTGTGCCTATTGGCACAAGAGCTTGTTAAAAACAAACCGAGAAACATATTGATATCTCTCAGTGCAATGTAATTGAGACCCGAATAGATGACAACGTATAACTGTTAAGGTATTGAATGTTAAGAATCAGGAATGTGCATTCTTAGCTGTTTAAGCGAGAATGGGAACAATGGAGGGAAAAGCTTCTAAAGAAAGAAAATACCAAGAAAAAAAAGTTGATGTACGAAAACGAAGTTAAAGGAAAACGACTAGAAAGATTAATCGTCACAAAAAAAGAAAAAAAAAAGTAGCTAAATGTTAGTGGTATTAATAACTGTTTCCTTATAAGGAAACATTCGATGGTCTGGATCCCCTTTGTTTGTCTCAAGGTTCTTGATAAAATCCAGAGACGGATATGCAATGTAATTGGCTCTGATCTGGCATCTCGTCTGCAGTCGCTCTCTCACAGACGTGTCGTCGCTTCCCTCTGTCTTTTTTTACAAATACTTTCATGTTAACTGCTCCGAGGAGCTGCTTTCGCTGGTTCCCAGACTTCATGAATTTAAGCGTTCTACTAGGCTGGCATCTCGCTCTCACTCTTTCACTGTGGAAACTGTTAAATTTAGCCGTCTCTTCTATTTCATGTCTCGCACTTCTCTCCCGTGGAACTCCTTCCCCTTTTCCTGTTTCCCAGATAACTATAATCTCCAACTGTAATGTCTCCAAATGTAATGTCAATCGACGTCTCTAGATGCCTTGATCTATCCCCTAACCTTCTCCTCATCCATTCCTCTATCACTCCTATTTGCTCTCGCTCCAACTCATTGTAACCCCTTGCGTTCTAGTGACGTCACGCCTTGCTTGGGGTGAAACGCTTTAAAAAAATAAAATAAAATGAAATAAAAATAAATAAATTTATTTACCAAGAAGCCGGTGCTACTTTCATTTGAAATTTATAAAATATTTCTCTTAAAAAAATTTTTCAGGAAAATTTGTTTTCTCAAATCCATTAACTGTATTGATGGAGGTTTCCTTCCTAACTTTTTCTTTTGAATTGGTGTCTAATATCAGCATCTTTCTGATTTCATTATTTTCTCTTCAATTTACACGTGCTATTCATTTTAGTTATTGCCTCTGTTGGTGGTCTTAAATCGTCTGGTTTCTATTATTTGGTACAGTTCTTTGCCTGCGATTCTGTAGCGCCAATCCGCAGAGTTAAAAAGGATACTTTTTGAGAAGACCCTAGGGCTTCGCTTGCTCAACGCCATTTTTAACCCTCGATCTTAGAAACTGGTTGTATACAGTTGACAGTTTAAATATTTCTGAATGAGTTTGGCACCATGCATGACTTCCATATGAAAGTCTCGAGCAGAAGTGGTTATTTAAGAATATGAGTTTTCAGATTAATGTTTTAGGTGAATAGGAAGTTTAAAAAAATGAAAGGATGTGAATACTTAAAATCAGAAAGAAACTTCTGAAAACCCTTCGACATATAAAGAAGGCTTGGATAATTTAGTCAGTAAATGGATGGCAGAGTGGTGACAAATAAAAAACAGTCAAAAAGAGGCAGGAGGACAGGAAGTGTCATGGTCATCCAGGTTTTCAAGAAATACGGTACAGAACTAAAAAGGAACAACAACAAGAAGGGGGAGTCTGTCTATATTTCTGAGGTGAGGTATTCTGTACATTATTTACATTATTCGAACTATTGTCCTCATCTTTGTCGCCATATTTCCAACCACTTGAAGAAGGCCGGAGCGTACAACGGCCGAAACGTTGTGATAAATATGGCGACAAAGATGAGGACAATAGTCCGAATAATGTAAATAATGTAAGAAGGGGGAGGTAAACAGAATTCATCTTTGAATGTTTTGAAACAAACCGTCGTTATTGTTGCACAATGTTTTTTTGTTTTTTTAATTCTTCATCTTCCTTGATCTTTTTTATGATAACGTTTCAGCAATTGCATCTTCGTGAGTCTAAGGAAGGAAGGAAGGAAGGAAGGAGAGAAGGAAGGAAGGAAGGAAGGAAGGAAGGAAGGAAGGAAGGAAGGAAGGAAGGAAGAAGAGAAGGAAGGAAGGAAGGAGAGAAGGAAGGAAGAAAGGAAGGAAGGAGAGAAGGAAGGAAGGAAGGAAGGAAGGAAGGAAGGAAGGAAGGAGAGAAGGAAGTAAGGAAGGAAGGAGAGAAGGAAGAAAGGAAGGAAGGAAGGAGAGAAGGAAGGAAAGAAGGAAGGAAGGAAGGAAGGAGAGAAGGAAGGAAGAAAGGAAGGAAGGAGAGGAAGGAAGGAAGGAAGGAGAGAAGGAAGGAAGGAAGGAAGGAAGGAAGGAAGGAGAGAAGGAAGTAAGGAAGGAAGGAGAGAAGGAAGAAAGGATTGAAGGAAGGAGAGAAGGAAGGAGAGAAGGAAGGAAGGAAGGAAGGAGAGAAGGAAGGAAGGAAGGAAGGAGAGAAGGAAGTAAGGAAGAAAGGAGAGAAGGAAGAAAGGAAGGAAGGAAGGAGAGAAGGAAGGAAGGAAGGAGAGAAGGAAGAAAGGAAGGAGAGAAGGAAGTGAGGAAGGAAGGAAGGAAGGATGAGATAAAGAATATAAAAAAAGGAGGAATGATAAAAGAAAAAAACATGAAGGGAGGATAATAAAGAACTAATGTTAAATAAAAAAAATGAATTAAAAAAAGGAAGAAATTTTTTTAAATGATTTCACTCCAAGAAAGGCGATAAAGTTACTAACACACAAAGGGTTACCAAGAGTTAAAAAAAAAATGAGAAAACCTTAGTAATAAGAAAGAACAATAAAAAAACACGATTCAGAAAGACTTAAGATGGCGATTGCTGTTGCTTTTAAATTTTTCAAGATTATTCTTAACCTGCTATCCCGGTTTCAGTCACATTATCTCCGCTGCAACGCGGTTTTCTTTTTATCCTTTCTATAAATATTTATATGCTAATTGTTCTAATGAGCTTTCCACCTTTGTAGCTCGACCTCATCGATTTATGTGCAGTACTAGATTGACAGGTGTCACCATTTTACAGTTGAAATAACTAGCGTTCCACAGGCGAAAAGTGTTAGAAGAGAAACTATTAGACTAGAACTTAATTTCATCTAGTTTTCATTCTAGTATTATGCTTAAATCCATGAGGTCTAGGTACCAAGGAGAAACGCTCGGAACAATTTCCATGAAAATATTTATAGAAAAGAGAAAGGAAAGCCACGTTACGGCGGTGGGAAAGTAACAGGAGCCGAGATGCCAGGTCAGAACCAATAAATTAACAGATTCTTCTTTGGATTTTGTCAAACGGCTCGAGATATGTAACCAGAGCACCAGACTAGATATGACAGAAATATTCAATGCACAGACGAATGGTAGATTCATATACGTTCAAGAAGTATTCTAGCAAGAAGAATGGTCATGCACAACACAGAGAACAAAGTTTTTATTATATATCGTACCTATGAACAGTAATAGGTATGTCCCAATCGTCATAAATAAGTTGGGCACTATTGTAAATGGGAGAAATATGCTGCCTAAGGTGTCAGCGTGAGCTGCCAGCGTGGGGTGGGGGTTGCTGTGTTGAACTCTCTACTTTTGAGCAGAGAGACACCCGGTAGGGCCATGCTGAAGGGCAGAGTCTCGTCCGAAGAGGAAGACTGATACCTGATCCCGCGTATGCGGAGTCTACGGGCAATTTTTGCCGAGCCAACAGGCTCGAATTTCAGCAGACCTAGCAAATGGCTCAATATAATTACTTTACTTCATGTCAGTGGAAAACGTGAGACCTAGCAAGGACAATAAGTTGCTCTCCTGGAGGTTAGCATCAGCCATGCTGATAGAAAGTGAACATTTTACACACACACACACACACACACTATATATATATATATATATATATATATATATATATATATAGAGAGAGAGAGAGAGAGAGAGAGATCTTCTTTTGTCGACAACTGTTAAAATCGTTAAGACTCTTAAATCACTAAGTTTCGTTTTAAAGGCGGTAAAATTTACTAGCTACTTCTTACCGCAGTAAAAAAGGATATTTATTAAATCATAGCCGGGTCGCCTATCGCAGAGTGATGGTTGATTAGCCGAAAAATGTGTAATAAGAACGTTTGTAATTGGGTGACCGACTCCTTTTTGTCTTGTATTTTATGAAACGAAGTAAACTAGTAAATAGTGTTACCTCCCACTGTATAGTCACTAGGTGACTATTACCACAATAATGAAATCGATTTTTTCCTTGATGTTCCATATCTGTAGTCTAGTGACGAACAAACCTTTTCTTTCATCCAGAACGCGAGTTGTAGCAGAAAGTATTGTTTGTCCCCTTACATTACCCCCTGTTTTTCTTCTGTAATCCATTTAAATCAACTCATTAAACAGGTTACACGATGTTTCCTTTTGATTCCCTTGCTGTCAATATATCCTGTGAGTTTCAAATTCTCCAAACACTCTTTCCTAAATATATTTCCCAGAAACGTCAGCTGTCTGTTTCGGATTCTAAGTAGAATTATCATTTTGGTTCCTATTTTCCATAAAACCTCTTCCTTGTTCCGGTCATTGTATTCTCAGCATTACTTTGCAGAACTACATCCCTGCGAGAGTTTACGACCACATCACGTTGAAACACCACTTCCAGTACGATTACCGAAGTTAAGTAACGTAGAGCCTGTTCAGTACCTAGATGGGTGACCGCTTGGGAATACTAGATGCTGTATACCTGGATGTTTGGGTCATGCAGTGGATAATGGCTCAGAATTGTTCATCGGAGAGCCGTGTTCCAATTCCAGTTGGGTTCGTTATATTCACTTACGCGCAAATACCCTTTGGAAAGGTATGAACCCAGTTCTTCAACCCACAGTTATGATTCAATTAGTATGGCGTATCACAAAATCATTAGTTCTCACGGCTCTAATTCGGAGCTGATCCTTTTGCTTATGACTTCTTCCATCTTATAATTGTTAGTTAATCTTTTCCAAATTAGATTAGGCTTAGTAAATATTAATCCGTTCATAAAATAATGTCGCATTAAAAAAATTAAAATTAAAAAATATTTAAATATAATAAAGTTAATTTTATTTGTTAAGGATAAGTAAACGAGATAATTACTCGGAACTAATTCATATACAATGAGTAAAAATATCGTTTAGCATAATTCAAGCATTATTGATCATTATTTTAAATGTAAAAAACATTGTATGAAATAAATAATTTTATTTCTTTGAAAGAATCTGGGATTCGGGATGAAAAGAAATGCTATTTGGTCTTTTAACTTTTAATAATTTAATCGCGAATTAAGTGCTTAGGACAAAATATCAAGTGGATATCTGAAGGTGTTAAACCGCTCGAGTTAAGAGAACGCGATAAAATCGTTCAGTTTAATGATGTATATTTTATTGGTTTGCAAAAGAGAAGAGGTGACAGTGGCGTAATGAATAGAAGTGGAGTAGTGGTTAGCAAATGAATTGCGGGATCGGAGAGCCGAGTTCGAATACCAATCAGTCGTTATATTCACTTATGTCAGGTTCGTTATATTATTTTACGTGCAAATATCTTTGGGGAAGTTTATTTTATTGGTTACAGACTTGCAGAGGTCACATCGCGTCTCCCCATCCCAAACTATAGACTTTTTGGACCAGAGAGAAGAAAAACAAAAAGTAGGGAAAGAGAAGTAAACACAAAAAGAATGGGAAAGGGAAGAAAAATAAAATAAAGGGAAAGAGAAGAAAAATAAAATGAAGGGAAAAAGAAGAAAAATAAACTGAAGGGAAATAGAAGAAAGAATAAAAAGAATGTTATGTGAAGAAAATTAAAAAGGAGGGAAAGAGAAGAAAGAACAACAATAAGGGAAAATGAAGAAAAAACAAAAAGAAAAAGAGAAGAAAGAAAAAGGGAAAGAGAAGAAAAATAAAAAAAGGGAAAGAGAAGAAAAAATGAAAAGAAGAAAAAAGAAAATGAAGGGAATGTGAAGAAAAAATGAAATGAAGGGAAAATGAAGAAAGAACAAAAAGGAGGGAAAGAGAAGAAAAATGAAAAAAAAAAAAGAAGAAAGAACAAATAGAAGGGTGAGAGAAGAAAAAATAAAAAGAAGAGAAAGAGAAGAAAACTAAAAAGAAGAGAAAGAGAAGAAGAATAAATGGAGGGGAAAGAAAAGAAAAACAAAAAGAAGAGAAAGAGGAAAACAAAAAGAAGAGAAAGAGAAAAAAACGAAGAAAAATTAGGGAAAGAGAAACAAATAAAAAAAGGGAAAGACCAAAAAAGAAAGAAACGAAATAGAAGAGAGTATAAAAAGAGGATAAAGAGAAGCAAAAATAAGATAAAAGAAAAAATAAATAATAAAAAAGAATAATGACCCCAGGAAAAGTATGTCGCGTGAAAATGCCCGATATTAGGTATTGGGGTAAATAAGATATTAAAAATGTGAAAAACATTAGCGTTGAATGACTAACTTGGTGTAGAGACAAGAAGAGCTAATAAAAGTTGCAGATGACTAAGACACAAATAAATACATCTTCCAAGATAAAAGGGAAATTGCTTTTGCTGTGGCTACAAAGCCACAGAAAAAATAAGTGAGGTTAGGATAGCACAACAACAATAAAAATAAAAGTAAACTTAGTTAATGGACAGTAAGAGTTAACTTTAGTCGCTCAGAATATACTTTGCACTTTCTTCTTTTCTCGACCAAATCTAGATCGCTTTTCAGTAGTCAAAACCACACAGAAGAAGCACGAAATCGGCTGCTTACAAAAACCACAAAAGAATAATCAGTCGTCTGATTAGTTCTAGGGAAAAATCCTGGGACAAATAAAATTTCGAATAGCGCATCACGTGAGCATTTTGGCCGAATGAGATTTCTCTTTCATCTTTTATTTGGCCTGAAGCTGCACAGCAAATTTGTGGTTGGTTTATTATCGACTCGGTGCTAAAACCACGCGAGATTTAACATCAAGATTTGGTTTATAGCCGCTGTAAACCACTGATTAAAAATGACGACAGCGTCTGGACAAATCTGTGCTGAAGCTGCTAAGTGAATTTTCGTATCAGTCGGCTGAATGGCTAGAGGCAGACTACGATCTGTTTACACGTCTGGGGATCACTCGAATCAAAAATCCTGAGATTGAACAGTTTTCGCCCTCCGGGGCCTGTTATCCTTGATTATAAATGAAAGAAAACGAATGAGCTCAT